ATAGAGGTTGAAAAGGTCAATGTGTCAATAATTTTGTCGCTGATTGTAACTATTCTTCAAGATGTGTTGAAGATGAAAACTTTTTTTCTGAAGCCTTAACGGCTTGTACGATTTAGCAATGCTTTTAAACTTAAATCAAGTCTCTCATAATTTTGCACTTTAAATATGTATTCTTCGTCAATAGGCACTGGCGTTTCTTTAACTGAAAAACTACCGTAGATTGAAGAATAACTCCACCATATTAATTTGATAAAAACTACATCTCTATGGTAACCATGTCAACCATTTGATTTCATTTTTCTTCATCATCTGTCGTCCTATCATCGTGTACTTCCAACATTGAACGAACTCGTCGGTATTCCGAGGATGATCCTGCTAATCTTCGGAATCGTTCGGCATCGACGTTCGGATCGGATTGTGATCGGGTAATCGAATAAAAATTGCTAAATGTGGATATCGGCGGAGTTCGATAGTCTTCTGTCGAGATCGATGGGAAGTTCATTGGAAGACTCAGTGGAGGATCAAGTTCAAATTCCAGCTGTTCGGTGACATCTTCTGATAATCTTGAAGAATCCCCCAAAAGAGAATCATCCTCAGCTGTTTCAAACGATAAATCTTCGTAAGGTTCTATTTCTTCTCGCTGGTGAGTCATTTTGTCACTTTTCAGCGAAGACTTGGACCGTAACTTTGTGACTACAAGCTTAGATTTTCCTCTTACCGCGCTGACCATTTTCTCGGCGGGCTCACCATCGGGCTCACCATCGGGCTCTTTTCTGGGGGACAATCTCCGTCTACGTCGGGATGTGCCAGTTTTTTTAGTTCCTCGAAATGCGAATTTCTTGGTATCACCTGACTTTTTCTGTCGAGAAGTCCTAGAGCTACTGTCTTTTAATCCACTTCTATCTCTAGCCGGAGAGAATTGAAAGGAAACGGATTTACTGGGCTGGGGTCCCGGTTCAAATTGAGAAACAGCAGTAAAAGGAACTACCCGAGGCTCTTTGTAGGCCTGGGAAAGAGTCTGTACTACATCATGATCACGAGATGTGTACGTTTGAGGTAGTTTCCAGGAATAAGACCGTTCGGCTGATTCTCTTCTTTCCTTAGAGGGGGTGGTAAAAGGTGTAATGGGAACTATGCGATAGTACTCTTCAGGTGCTGGGGAGAGTTGCACATGCCTGATCGGAGGAGACTGGGAACTGTCCTTGCGTCTCTCGTCACCTTGTTCATTTGCAGATGAATCGAAATCAGATTCATCTACAGGTGAATCAATGGCAGCTTCCTCCCTTCCTTTCCACGATGTACCTTCCTCTTCACTGCTCTCATCGAGTGGTTCATCAAGAGGGCCTGGGTCTGAGAAGTATGTGAACCCTGGTGATTTAAGAGGGCTACTCGCCGCACTTGAGACATCAGGCGTGAAGACCGACTCCCAGTACATGGCAGAATCAGATGCTAAAATGTCTCCTTTGTAAGAGCCGGACATAACAGCCCTTCGTAGAACATCCCACATTCTCTGAGAACTGACTTTTCTTCCCACCTACACAATGAGCAGAAAAAGTTATTAATTTAGTTCTAAAAACTGTAAAAGGCGATTGAGTCCCTCTCGATTGAGTGCCGTAGACCAGAAAATTAAGCTTTCAAACGGCTTATCTAAACGTAAACAAAGGTAAAGTTCACAAATAGCCAAAAATAAGTCAAGGAAATTTCACGTAATTGGCTGTGACACGCAGTAGCTTTCCTGTGTATCTTTACTGACCACAATGAGTAAAAGAGCAAACCGAACGAGTGACCGGCCTCTTCTTCGATTTACACTTACGCTCAGTGAATATCTACCAAAGAGAGACTCTACATAGGGAAGACTAATGCAAAATGAAGCGAAATAAAAGGAAAAGGATCAGTTCGTAAATGGGGTTAAGTTGTTTTTTTTTTTTTCTAGTTTAGGAAATGGCTTTAGCTTTGTTGACTACTCAAATGTAAACAAAAAAATATCGGACACTGGTGTCTACAATAAAAAATTGGACATAATGTCTAAGTTCGGACACTATTGTTTATAATCACATTATGAACACTGATGTTTAAAATAAAAAATCGGATTTTTCAGCGAAACCAATGCAATCACATATTATTTCCGAGTTTGATATTCCCTTGACGATTACTAAGAAAGCAAGGTTATCTCTTGTAGAGAAAAGTTAACACGGCATGATAAGACGAAGGTGATTTAGAAAGATTTGAGAAGAGAAGGATACGATAAAGACGTCTGACCTTTTTCTCTGTCAATTTTGATTCCGGTACCATTTCGTTGTCTTCCTGTTCCTTATCAGTAGGGTGCCTGTGTTTTCCTTTATCCAGTGTACGGTAGATCTGCACAAAAGTAACATAAAGAATCATTAGTTTAAGCGGTCTCTCTTGAAGCCACAAACAAAGAGAGCATTTATGAGTCACTCGTTATAAGTTGGACCAATCAGGATCGCAAGAAGCGATGTGCAAAGAAAGTCAAGGTAAAGCAATCCTTGCAATATGCAAGAGGACATGCAATGGATCCTAAGCGCGGTAAGACCTGAAACTTGTTGACAGGCGTGAAAAAGATGCAACGAAAGACAAGCGCGGGAAAATCAGCGACCTGATGTAAAGCGCGGATGGGCATCAAGCGCGGGAAAACATGCCACCGGCGCCAAGGGCGGGAAAATCACGGAACTGCCACTAAGTGTAGGAAAGCTTGCAATCGTGTGGCAGGAGAAACAGCTAAGCTGGTAACGGGTGCGGTAAACCCTGGTTGTGCCAGGTCAAGCAGAAACTTGCCA